TATGTTCCTTCTATTCCGAGGACTTCAAGGGCCTTAAACATAAATGGGTGTTGAACCTTGTCGAAAGCCTTCTCCGAAGATGCTATCTTTTTTAAACTAAAAAAGAAAACCAACTCCAAAAACTCGAAATCTTAGAAAATGAAATTAAACTTGTGGTTACCAGAGGCTGAAGGTAGTGGGAGAGGGAACTAGAAGGAAGATGGTCAAAAGATACAGCCTACTAATTATAAGATAAAATAAATATGGATATGATATACAATATGCCTACAGTCAACATAGCTGTCTAATAGACAGGAAAGTTAACAGAGTGAATCCGTAGAGTTCTTATCATTAGTAGAAAATTTTCCTTTTTTCTTTTTTTTTTTACTATATCTATAGATGATAGTGTTAGCTGAATTTATTGTAGTAATCATTTCACAATATATGTCTATCAAATCATCATGTTGCATGCCTTAAACTTATACAGTAATGTGTGCCAATTATTTGTCAATAAAACTGAAAAAAAAAATGAAACATTTCACACTGTCTTAAGGATTTTTATTTTATAATATAACAAATTATGTCTTGTTAAGATTTATATTTATAGCAGAATTTTTCTTCAGTCATCACTGTCACTTCCTGATTCACTCAGCTGCAAATCATTTCCTAAAATAAAAAAGCAAAACTATAGCAATTAAACATTTAATATTTAATATATTTATTTTTAAATTAAAAAATATTATGCAAAATTCAACCCAAGAGGTGGTTCGTCCAAAAAATCAATAATCAGATTGTTTATCCTACAATTTAGACACATCAATAGTAAATCAAATATTATCAACAGTCAGCATGCTTTTAGGATCACTTGTTATTTATTTTATTGTTCCCTCCATACCAACATCATCCTTCATTTATACCATTCATTTAATTATATTGGGAATTGAGAGAAAATAAGTCTTAGAATATCAGGTTATATCATTTTAAAGAACGAAAAAATTTGTTTTTTTTTTACTTAAAATGCAATCAAAATCATTCAGTAGTGTATGTAAAAAGTAGCTCATCAATGCCTTTTGTAGTTCATTCATGTGTTTACAGTCATGGGGTTTACATTCAGTGGAGGAGATAGACAGTAAGCAAAGATATAATGCCAACTGGGGAAAAATAAAAAAGTATAGGAAGAGTGGTTGTGAAGTACTATTTTACATAGGACAGTTGGGAAGACTTCTTTGAAGGGTGACATTTGAACAGAAATCCAGATATAGAAAGAAAGTTATGGAAATACGGAGCTTGGGAACTGTAAGATTCAGGGAACAGCAAACAAAGAATTCCAGGGGTAGAAGCATGCTTACATATTTTCTAGCTGATATAAGACCACTATGGCTGGCGTGGGATATGTGGAAAAGACAATAGTTAAAAAATGAAATCAGAAAGACAGGAAATGATAAAACTTCAAATTTTGTTTGAAATGTAATGGGAATTCATTGGCAAATGACTTATAGTCAACTGACTTGAATCAACCATGATGGTGTGAAAGAAACATAAAACCAGGGAGAGTAGTTATGAAGCTATTGTAGTTTCTCTTGTAAGATACAATACTAGCTTTGACTCAGGTGAATCATACGAAAATGATGTAAACTGATCAAACTATGATCCATTTTGCAGTAGAGTCTATGGTATTATCAAAAGCATTGGCTTTAGATATAGGAGAAAGGGAACAGTAAAGAATGACTCCCAAGATGTCTTGTCTAACCAACTTTTCAAATGGCAGTATCGTTTACTGAAATGACACCAGAGGAAAAGTTTGTGAGAGAAAAAAAAAGCACACATTAATTTTTGAAGTGGTACATTTGTGATACCCAGTAAATATTCAAGTACATATGACACAGGCAATTGGATATGCAAGTCAACATTTGAAGGTAGAGTTGTAAATTACATCAGCTAAAAAAAATTCTTGTAATTTTATTGCATAGTCAACAAAACCTAGCATATTATGAAGATAATACCCAAATTAATAATTTTTGCATTATATGTGAATTGTAAGAGATTTCAGTCAATTGCATAAATCCAGACCTGATTACGTGATGTGCTAAATCTGCTAATTTCTTCAGTGCTTCTGGTTTTATGACCATTTTAATCATCTGAACTCTCTGCTTATCATATTTCAGAACATAAGAATGTTCAACTTGATATGATACTGAAGTATGAGTTTCTCAAATGACAAACTGAAGAGTTCTACTTTTCATACAAAACTATACTATAGAGGCTGTATGCACGGTCTCACCATGCTGAGTTGAAGAGTTTAGTCAGTTTTGAAGATATGGGCTTAGTCTTTGAATATGTGATGTTTAGTAAGGAAATGTATTTTCAATCCAAATAGCAATAATGACTTGGAAAGAGAGTTTATCCATGACAATCATATTCAGAATCTTAAACCAGTGATTCTCAATGAGAGCAATACTGCCCCCTAGGAGATATTTCAGAAATTTATGTGAGAGGTCACTTGTTCAAGTGATTTTCAGCTTGCTAGTGACATTTAATGGAAAGGGAATTTCAAAGTGCTAAATAATCTTGCAATACAGGTACCCTTCATACACAATAAGAATGTTCCTCTATTCTTTAAAACTTTTGAAAGTCCAAAGAGATATCCGTGTACTTTGAAAATCTGCTTTTAATTTGAAGGCCAGAACTAAACTGCATTTTCATAAACTAAAATTAGTATTTTAAACAGATTTAAAATTCACCAAAATTTGCAAATATGAAGCTATAATGTCAAGTGAAATAAATTTTATATAGAGAGTTTCTTTTTTAAATTGTTTTGGAAAACACACCCGCAATATCAATGTTGCTCAATGTATTTAGGTCAGTGATACAGCAACTCAATATTCATCTGTATATGCAAGTCTGTGAATTTCTATGTATGTATATTTTTCCATTCATTATTTTAGCAAGTCATTAAAAAGAAAAATTGTTGACATTATGAATTGCCTGGTGTCTTGCTTTTCTTTATCCAAAAATTGTTTATTAAAATATAAGTGTAAACATATAGAACAAAAAAATCCTAAAATCTGTATGAAATAATGAGACTTCAAATAACCTAAACAATCCTGAGGAAAAAAGAACAAAAATGAAGTTATCATGTTTACTGACTTCAAACTATACTACAAAGATATAGCAATCAAAACAGTATTATGCAGGGATAAAAACAGCCACATAGATCAGTGGAATAGAGTTGAGAACCTAGATATAAGACCACACATTTATGAACAACTAATTTATGGTAAAGAATTCAAAGGCATACAATGGAGAAAAGGAAGGTATTCCTAAAAATGATGCAGGGGAAACTGGACAGCCACATTTAAAGAATAAAATTAGCCTACTGTCTTATACCATTCACTAAAATCAACTCAAAATGGATCAAAGTCTAGATCTGATATCTGAAACCATAAAATGCATAAAAGAAAACACAGGTGATAAGCTCTTTGATATAAGTCTTAGTGATGTCTTTGTGGATCCATCTCTAAAAGCAAGAGAAAAAAGAGGGAAATAAAATAATTGGAACTATATCTTTTGATTCTGCACAGTCAAAGAAACCATCATTAAAATGAAAAGGCAGACTACTGGGTGAGGAGAAGAGATTCATAAACTATCTATTAAAAAAGGGGCTATCTCCAAAGTATATAAATAATTCAATTCATATATATACTCATATATGTACAATTCAACAACAAATTAACATACAACCTGATTAAAAAATGGGTAGAGAATCTAAACAGACATTTCACCAGAGAAGTTAAACAGATGGCCAACAGACATGTGAAGACTGTTAAGTGAAATTGGTTTACAGTGCTTTTCCTTGTTCCTGTCCAGTTTTGATATAGAGATTATCCTAGCATTAGAAAAGAATAGATTCAGGGCTCTCCCTGGTGGTGCAACTGGTTAAAGCACAGCACTATGAAGCTCTCTGCAGCCACTGCAGCAAGAGTTCTGTTCCCAGCCAGGCGGTGACCCACATGGTGTGGCAGACCTGGCTCACCTGCTGCTCTCCTCAGCAGTGTATTTCAATACATCTACCTGTTCTGCTCTTCAGTCTGTCTCTGGGGAAACCTCTCAGCCCCCATCCCTTCCACCTCTGACCTGTTCCCCAGTTCTTGGGTGCATAACTAAATAAATTTTTTAAAAAGAAAAGAATTGATTCAGTCACTTTTCCTGCTTTACTTTCTAAATAGTTTGTATATGTTACAAATTATTTGGACTTTAGGAATGTATTTGAGTTCATCTGTAAAAGTATTCCCACTTTTCCAGCATCTTGGAGATAAAGAGGTAGCATGGAGAAACTGTTACTGATTTCTTCAGACTTCCTTTTCATTTCTCTTCAAGGCAGATATGGTAAATTATACTTTTTCTATAAAATCTCTTCTATGTCAAAGTTACTGAAATAAGTTTTTTTATAAAAACTCATAATTTAAAAAATAAAATCATGTCCTAAATAACTTCAACCATTTTTTAAACTCCTGATATTGCTTATATACCATTCCTCTTTTTCTTCATCAGTCTTTGTTAAAGATTTATCTTTTTTATTAACCTTCAAAGACATAACTTTAGTTTTGCTTACCTTTTAATGTTTGTTACCTATTAGGCAAATCTTATTTTGTAATTAATTTATTTTAAATTGAGGTAAGTTAGGATACACCCATCAGGTACTGCCACAGTAGTGCACCGCTCACCAAATCCCCAATTCACCAAAGCACAGTCCATTGTGCTTATTTCCCAATGTGTTCTTATCCCTTCTCCAACCACCTCTAGCTGCTTTAGTTCTATAGTCAGTATTCAATGTCTAGTATTTAAACTTGTCTTTACTTGACCCTTCTGTGTTTCAGTGACATCATTCAGTATTTTTCTCTTTCTGAGTTACTTCACCTAGTAAGTACAGCTCCTTTCATACTGCTGCAAACAACATGATCTTTAATTTACTTTCTAAGTTATGATCTTCTTACTTTGCTTTCTTTAAGATTTCATTGTAATTTTCTTTCTTTTTTTTTAAAAAAAAAAAAGATTTATTTATTTATGCATACAGAACTGGGGAACAGGCCAGAGGTACAGGGGTGGTGAGAGGTTTCATGGAAAAAGAGTGGGGAGCAGAACAGGCAGATAGATGAAGTACACTGCTGAGGGGAGCCGCGGGCCAGTCAGGAGAGGGCTGCCGTGCTGCCGCGCCATGTGGGTCACCTCCGGAGTGAGGATCCAATTCATGCTGAATTGGCTTTAGCTTCTTAGCACTGTGCTTTAACCCTCTGTGCCACCAGGGAGGGCCCTGCAGTTTTCTTCTGACATAAGCTATTAGGCATGGGCTTTTCCATTTCAAGGCATGCATTTTAAATTAATTTTTGTGATTCATGTATAATTTCATTGTATTAGTAATAGAACAGGTAAAATATAAATTCTTTGAAATTTATTATTTTCTTGTGCAATTTATTTTTGATAGTCTGATTGTTTTATTGATGATATTTTTATTGAGGTAACATTGGTTTATAACATGGCATATGAATCAGAAGTATAGATTCACTTCAGGTGTGCATTAGCATACCATACCCACCACAAGGCACCTAGTCTCAACACAGTTCATGAGACTCTCCACGTTACTCTTGACCCACATTCCCTCTCTGGTAACCTCAATTCTAAAGTCAAATTTCTAGAATTTGTTTTGGATTAGTTTTGTCTGTCCACGCCCTCAAAATTTATTTATTTTCATAAATTATTTGTTCATTTTTGTACAGTAGTTGGTGTCTTGCTTCAGGAGTTGTCCCCACAGTTATCCAACACCTATCACCAATGAACTATCACTATAGTCCCTTGTGCTTTCCCTCCCCTATTTTGTTCCTTTTCTCTTCCCCTTCCTGACAGTATGCCTCAGATGTATGGTCAGTTTGTAAGTTTTGTCTTTCTCTTGACCTTCTTCTGTTCAGTTTCTCCATATTCCAAATGTAAGTAAAACCATCCAATATTTAACTTTTTCTTTCTGACTTATTTTGCTTAGTACAATCTTTTCCAGCTCCATCCGTTGCTGCACATGGCATACATTTATCTTTTTGATCACTGAGTAGTGTTCCTTTGTTTGTTTCTCTATATTTCACATATAAGTGAAATCATCCTGTATTTGTCTATTGCTGACTTATTTCACTTAGCAAATTCCCTCCTGTTCCATCTGTATTATCACAAATAGCAATATTT